ATTAGTGATACAAGAGTTCTGAGCGCTTCTATCGGAAGATTTTCAATAATTTTGATTGAAATTTCATCATAACCAAATGTTGATTTATTCCTTATATCACAAAAAACTTCAAACAGTTCATAAATATTCGTATCATCCAATTGAAGAGATAAATTGATTGCAACATTTTCTAAATTAATCAGTGGGTCATATGGTACCACAATATTCTGACCGAGTTTCTATCCAATCGAACAATAGAATTCATTTATATCGTCCACACTGATTGGTATTTCAATATCTCTGCTCTTTTTGGTACTATTTCTCAAATCATTCATGATAGACCAACTTTCTTTCATTTTATTGTCTGAGTTATCAATTCTATTTTTGAAGTAAATTTCTTTAGCAAGTCTAATGGTATTCCTATACATTCTCCGATAATTATTAAACTATAAATGAAAGTAAGGATTATCAGTGAATTTCATCAGATGGTGTGAAGAGCGAAGATTTCTTAACGAAATTTTAATTCCTTGCGTCATCTAATGATCACTTATGGTGCAATTGCTTGGTGGCCGAAGGCTTTACAGAAAACTGCCCAAGCGAAGCTCTCTGGCTTACAGAGACAGGCTTGTCTGGCTATCAGTGGTGCCATCATCAGTACCACACCGTCAGTGGCCATGGAGATCCTTCTTGATCTATTTCCTCTCCACATTATTCTGGAGAGAGAGGCTAGATGGACTGCATACAGACTTGAGCACATTGCCAATTACACAAATCAGTTCAATGCAGAGTGCAACAGACTGTTGGTTGACACTGGAAGTCACAGAATTCTGGAAATGACCTCTGACTTTATGCCTCCAACCGTCAACTACCAACTGCCTTATAAAGTACTATTCCCGAGTAGAGAGAACTGGATCCTCCGGGAGAAGGAAATACTAAGAGCAGATAGTTGTTGGTTCACAGATGGATCAAAAACAACTTCCGGTTTTGGTGCAGGTGTTTTCAGTCGCAGACCCAGGACAGAGTTATCTACCTGCCTAGGAACTTGTGCGACTGTATTTCAAGCGGAAATTTACGCTATTGAATTGTGTGCGGAGAGATTGGATAAATCCAACCTCACACACAAGTCAATAAAAATATTCTCGGACAGTCAAGCGGAGTTGGAAGCTCTACCGAGCAATGTCTAAATTGGTAGCAAACTGCCAAAAACGGCTCCTCTCGATAGGAAGACTCAACAGATTGTCTTTGGTCTGGATTCCTGGCCATACTGGCCTGGAAGGCAGTGAAGCTGCTGACTCTCTTGCAAAGGAGGGTGCTGCAAGCGGCTTCATTGGACCAGAACCTGCCATTGGCATCGCTTTGGGCTTTGCCAAACAAACACTGAACACTTGGATGGCAGGAAGATGTATGGACTTCTGGCAGAATCTTCTAGTATTGGCCCACTCCAAGGCGTTTATACACCCTTCGAAGCTCGATTCCAAACAGTTGTTGGACTACAGTAGGGATGAACTACGATGTCTAACAGGTCTTCTTACAGGTCACTGTCATTTGAATCATCATATGCAGAGATTTGCACTCTCGGAAGACAGTGTGTGTCGCCTCTGTCTGGAAAATGATGAAACAGCAGAGCATATACTTTGTGCCTGTCCCGCTGGGGACCGAATCAGGTTCTTTGAGTTCGACAGATCCGTACTCTCACGATCTGACCTGAAAGACCACTCACCATACAAACTTATCGGCTTCGTTAAGGAGCTGGGTTTATTTGGTCGATTGTGAATAGGTGTGAATAGGTTGCGATTTCTATCGTTTGACGTTATGATGGAGTAAATTTCTGTGTATTACGATTTCTATCTTGTACATTATGATGCATTAGGTGTCCCCGTTAGTATCCATAATCGTCTTCAGGTGATCACTGGACTAATTCCTCCGAGAGATAACTATCTATGGGTCACTCGAGTACTCTTAATTATCTCCGCTTTCCGGTTTAGCGGGAGATAACCGTTTGGCGGGACTTGGCCATTTTTAGCTTGATTATGGGTTTCCATATGTTGCGTTAGCTTGGCTGAATGCGTTGTTGGACAACATATATGCAGCTACTTTGAATTTCGTCCAAAGCCAGTGTTCCTCCATGTGGATGATTCAGCTATTAGACAATGGAAGTCCGAACTAATGAAATTCATAATCATTCTATTTGTGTGAATTTGTGAGGGGAAAACCCTGAATTTTTCTAATAACGAGAAAGTGCTTTTCGATTTACTAAAGTGATATTTATTTTATTCAGGAGTTGTCGAATACCGAAAAATTGAGAACAAAAAAGTATTTTTGGGAGATTGCACATCATAATGCTATATCGACTAAATCAGTTCGAAAAATTTTGAAATGTTATAAATTTAGACCACACACAGTCAGGAAAATGCACCATTTGCGTTTAATAGACTACGATAGAGAAAAAATATTTTGAAGATGGCTACTCAGACAACATCGTGAAGTAACGGATGGTTTAACAGGAATATTAATTATCATTAACGGGGAGGAAATTCCTTCCTACAAAGAGCTACACATTTCCAAGAGAGATTTGGAGTTGATATTTGGCTTGGTGCGCTAGACACCAAGATTATAGGTCTATACTTTTTTGGGACATTTTTGACGTGGGAATTATTTTGAAATTTTCGTTGGAGACTCTAGGTGAGTTGTTGGAATATTTGCCTTTGAATATTCTGTATTTTCAACAAGATGGAGCACCACCACATCGCAGAACTATTTGCAGAGATCTTCTCAATATGACTGTCAGGAGGATTGATAGGAAACAGTGGTCCTATTAAATGGCCACCACGTTCACCTGACCTGACCCTTTTGGACTTCATGGGCTCCATGAAAGAAAATGTATTCATCTCAACTTTGGGCAATATTGACGAATTGAAAGAAACAATAAGGGTGGCTTGCATACCTTTCACTTCACAAATGCTGAAAAAGTACCATAAAAATACTATTGCAAGAGCGAATATGTGCTTAAGAAACGATGGATGGCAGTTTGAACATTAAATGAGATAGGAAATAAATGTTTCAAAATAAAATATTTAAATATTCATCTCTTCCAACTACCTACACTGTAGGTTATGGTAAACGCCTACCGGAAAACAATTATGAAAAATGTGAAATAAAACTTCAAATTTTTCATGATGGTCTCTTACTACTTAGTAGCGGCTACATCCATCAATTTATGAAAAACAGCATTTTGACATTAATTTTTTTGTTCGTTAAGTTGGTATATTACATAATCTTCCGTTATGTGGAGTTTATGTATAGTTTGAGTTCTAGACCTAAAAACTATTGATCCCTACTTCTTTGAGGTAGCTCTGACCGGGATTTGTATGACAATACAGTGATGATGATAAACATATATATTGTAATATATAGCTGAAAGATTTTCAAGGAACTAGGTATGAAGGTGGTTTTTAAAACAAGTCATACACTATAGAGCCTTTTTTGAAGTCCAAAAGACAAAGTCGAGAGTTCGGAAAAGTCTGGAATTACGAAGTTGAATGTAAGGACTGCGATGCAAAATATTATGGAACAATAAGATCTATTAAAGTAAGATATAAGGAACACTTAGCACACTTAAAATATGGAAGACCTGAAAAATCAGCAGTCGCCCATCATATTTTGCAATAAAACCATTCTATAGACTTCAGTTCATTAAGATTAGTTAGATAAGTTAACAACATGTAACTGGATTCTTATGAGAGTGTAACATAAACATAATAGTATTATGAATAACGATGACGGACCAATACCAAAAAGCATAATGTATAGTTTGTTAAAATAATATCATTAGATTTACTGACTATTACATAAGGACACATTGTAAAAATAAATTTAGGACAAGTAGATAGGCAAATGTGAAATTAATTTTTATATAGCTTGAAAATGGTTTTATATATAGCTATAATATTTTATATTATAGCTATAGCTATAATATTAGATTAGACGTATTGTAAAATTAATAAATAAGGCAAATTGTAAAATTAATTTAAGATACCAATGGTGTGGTATACCTGTTTGTGTGGTACACCTGTATGGTATACCCGTATAGTATAAATAGGGTTAGCTTTGTAAGTTTTTCCAGTTTAATCTTTCTCTTGAAGATGATCACTTGGTGATCGAAACACGTGTCGAGGTGTTAAAAATAACAATTTGGTGTTGGGAAAAACATCACATATAGCTGAATTTGTTATTACAGTGGCTACACAAATCGCCCCAATTAAAAAAAATGAGTTGACGATGATATCGAATGAAAGAAACGTTGCACTGTTGCCTTATTTTCAAAAACGGCCTGTATATTTTATTATGGAGGAAACGAAATATAAAATACATTTTATATCTAGATAACAACAATATGATTTATAAAACGACGGTTTTCATTTTTGATATTTTTTTACATGAAACTTTTGAACCACTTTTCAATCTTTTGCCTTACAGATCTACAGATATAAAATTGTAATTAGTAAAAGAGAGTTGCGTTTCATTAGGCTTCAGAAATTTGAATTTCCATGCTTTGGTTAACAATATTAATATTTAGACATGGTAATAATTAAAAAAATGTACAAAATGTACTCCTTTCACTTCTTGACAAAATTGTATTACATAATTAATTTCAAGGATTATTCTATATTTCAAGGCTTGTATATTTGCAAGTTTTGTTTGGTGGACCTTATGTTTGAGACAACCCCAGAAGATAAAATGTAAGGGCATGAGGTCAAACAACCTATCCATCTATTTGGGAACACTATATTTGAATATTCTCTCACAGAATCTCTAAAATGCAATGGTGCTACATCCTATGGAAACCATAAAGAAGAATGAAGTTTATTGCAGAGGCTTTTAACTTTGTAATAATTTCTCAAGTACTTTGAAAAATCTCAGTAAACTAAGATTTTGAAAATATCTAAAAAAATATCTCTTGATATAAAGTGACAAAAGTAGATAAGTTTCTTTTATTCAGTTCTAAAATGCCTCTTTTTCAGATTTGAAAGGAAAAAAATCAGAAAATACGTGGATTCAATTTACGTAGGAGTAATACCTACAGGAAGAAACAATCAATACCGTTATCAACAATTTGAATGAAGACTCCAATAAATTCTCAAATGCTCCTGTGATATGGCTCAACCAAATTAAAAAAACAAACCATCATGAAAATAATTTACCTTAACCCCTTGTACAAACAAATGACGAAGAAGAGTATCTGTAGGACAGAGACTTCAAAGGAGGTTGAAACATATTTCTATTAAGGAGACACGGATTTTATACCATCATACGTCAACATCCTATTTTATTCTGTTTAATATAGATTTTGGTTAAAATGTGTCTTACTTACTTTCTGGACTCCCACCTAAATTCTTTCTCTGAAAACTGCGGGAAGGTCAGCGACAAGTACAGACATTGTCGGCATGGAAAATAGTACCAAGGGTTAGTCTACAGTGATGTTGGCTGAATACTTTTGACGAATACTCATTAGAGATTCTGTATTTGTCCATTACAAGGGAAGGTCTGATAAGAATTTACAGCAAACACTACGTAGGTCAAACCTGCACGGTTTGTAGCATAACAAAAACCTTTTTTGAGGTAACAAAAGTGATAAGTATTGTATTCCAGAAGGTCAGTATTTTTTTCATTATAACTATTTTGAAGTTAAACATACTTAATAATAATAATAAAACTTACCTGTATTTCTGCGAATCGTCTGATTACCAAAAAAACTAATATTTCCTTAAAATATTTTTTGTTTTTGTTAAAAATCGTACCTAGCATTTAAAAATACGATTCAGGTTCATGAAGTTTGAATTTTCTCTAGACTTGGTGAGTCGATAAATGAAATAATGCAATCATCTCAACATCTCACTACCTATCATTAGGGCGCCTCGCGGCAGGCCCTGCACCTTGTGTCAGGAACCTCTATAGCCATCATGCGACTGTGGTAGACTAAGGTGTTGAAGACACCATCCTGGCAAGCCATGATGAACCCCTCAGTTTCCGACTTCAGCCCATTCGACTTGAGAAAAGCGAACGTCAGGCGCTTTGATAAGCCAAGGTCTCCAATGTTATTGAAGAAGATCCCATGCATTGGCTTATCCTTGTGTTTCCGCAGAAGTAAGGTGATCTCTGCGGCTTTTATCTTTTTTGCTGAACGGGTTACAACTCGGTGACAAAGTTGTGGTCACCTCGTTCAGTGTCGGGCAGCTGCCCTGGTCTGCTCATGGTCACGGTCCATATAGAGAAGGGAATCCGAACTCCTGACGACTTTACAGGCTGTATCCAGTACCATTCTGTCATGTAGACACTCCAAACTCAAAAGTCCACGGCCTCCCTATCGTCGGGGGAAGTACAACCGTGGAACGGACGGTTTGTGATGCAAACTCCTATAGAGATGCATCATTTTTCGAGTCTTTACGTCGAGTTGATACAGCAAGCATATTTGTTGCAGCAACTTTGTTCTTGCCCGACCGTTCCGATGACCAGAACTGTCAAAGTTTGTGCTGATACTTGCTGCGGAGAGAGTTTTTCACTGTTGTTACCCCTTGTGAGTGGCGTTGTTCCACCCCGAGGTAAGTATACGTCTCTCCGGCATCCAGATGGTGTAGGATGCCGAGAATGGACCATTGCACATTTGTCTATCCCGAATTTCATACCGATAGCATGCGTGTACTCTTCCACCACCCTCAAGGACTGATGGAAATCCTTCTCTCCTTCCTGTTTGGTGAGACACAACTTGAGATAAGGCTACTTTGTTGTGCAGTGTCATATTGAGGAAACACAAAAAAAATGATATAGTGAACTCAAATGTTACTATAGCTATATTTTTTGGGATAGAAATGCTTTGGCTTTCTACTTCTCCATCTTGATACAAACAGGTGGGAATCTTCCAAAGAAAGGAGGGAGCAATCAATTTCAAAAATTAACTCTATACAAAGATGAGTAGATCATGCAAAGAGGTAACTTTCAGGAAAAAAATGGAAAAACAGCCTTCTCGAAACAGCTATTTTCATATAAACATTGAATTACACCAGAGAAAAATATTTACAAAACAAATACTTTTATATAAATACAAAAAAACACTTTTCTCTATTCAGTTTGTATTTCAAACATTCGTTATGGAATTGAATCAGATATTATTTACAGAATTGCTACACAATATAGTAGACACGTTCATTTTTTTTTATAAAATAGAGAAGTAGAAAGACAAAACCGTTCTTTTTGAAAAATAATCTTTCCTGAAAATATACCCCTTTCAATTCAAACTATAATATATATTTACATCAATAAATAAACGTCGCTTTTGATATATAATAAACAAAATATTAAAGCACCTTCTCGTTAATACAAATTTTGTTGATTTATAAATATTGAATAAATACCATTAACCACACAATACTGAATAATGATCAACTACTCATCAACTGAATTTTGAAACTTGATTGAAAGAAAAACTCTAAAGTAAAGCAGGAAATATAATACTGGGTCATGAATGACACTTGCTTCAAATTTTACTCAAATTGTAAGGAAATATTTGAACTGAAAATGCGATATTCAAGAAACACCTTATTGTGAGATTTTCAGTAAACATACTTAATGAAAATCCATTACATATTCAAGAAATAATTTATTGTGAGATTTTCACTAAACACTCAAACACTTTATTGTGAAAATCTCACAATAAATTATTTCTTGAATACGTTATGGATTTTCATCAAGTATTGGCCGATTCCATCACATATGTGAAAACCATACCTTTTTATAATTAATTCTTTATGATATTTTGATTTTGTCAAACCGTTGAAAAGAGTAAATATGATTTCATGCTAGAAGTAGAAAATCAAACACGTTTACTTTGAGTAAAAGTTCCCGATATTGAAACTTTCGTTGAGGTTGAGGTAACATCTTTAAATGCTACCTTTGATATTCCTTGCCATAACTTTCTTATAGAAAGTTTTCTCGGTTTATAGAGCCCTAATATTCCAATATAATGTCTTCTGGATCATCGCTTAGGATACTAAAATTATATGATATTTTCAACTGTAAGATGATATTTTAATTTTCCATATTTACTAGATTCAAAACTGTCCACCGTAAGAGTTAGTGTTCTGGAAAAATTCTAGCACTGCCTGTTCTAAACCTGAGTAATATATTTTTAGCCAGGTCCCCCAAAAAAAATATTTTTTTTCACTAATAACTAAATCACCTGTACATATTTACACGAAAAATTAATAGTACCTACTCAATAATTTGCGATTATTACACAATATTGCCTTCTGATAACTAGATGATGTTAGTAGAAATTACAGTAAAACTCTAATTATCAGAACAACTATCTGGATCATCACATTTAGAGGTTAATCAGGAGGCAGAGCATTTCCTAACTCCTACTGAAATGTTCAAGTAGATATTAAACCAGAGAAGAGGATTGTTAGAAATACAAGAGAAAAAAGATTATTAACAACATGAAAATAATTTTTAAATATAGCAAATGCCAAGAAAAAACAAATTTAAATGAATCCATAGTTCAGAGAATGAAATAGGGTGAATTTTAGGTATGGAAAATGGTTTTTTATTATTTACAGTAAAATCTGGATCTATTGAAAAAGTCAAATACATAAGTTGTAGAAAATTTAAAGGTCTACAACTCTTCTACGTAATTGAACTTTTGCAGTTTTCAATGCAACATTTCGAATATTTCATCTGGAAAATTTCAATTATCTGATAGTAGATAATACAACAAAAAAATATCACTGTTGATTAAAAAAAATTATTTTCAACACACAAGTTTCAGATAGAAGTCAAAAAGGTAAGTTTCCACTAATTATCGTGAAAACACAAAATGCTTCTGTGAGAAGAAATCATAAAACGGGAAAACAAATTTTTCCAATTTTTATTGTAAAATTTTGGGTTATGAGGAAAAATGCTTTAAACAAAAGTTGTATATCTTTATATTTCCTATAACTTTTCAAGGTCTAGTTTCACAACTTTAATTAATTTTTATCGTAATGGGCACACTAATTTATTTCCTATACAACTATTTTATTGTTGTTATTAATTTTTTCTTCTTCAAAAATTATTGACATTGTCCTATATGGGTTGATCCTCCATACAAGCTTTACAATAATAAAATGATTCAAATAGTACATTACATTCACTCGAATCATTTTTGGGTGTTTTCTCTCTGAAATAAGCCTCCTTTTGTCAAAATCCAATCATTCGCATATTTGATTAGCCGGACTAGAAGTGATACCATTGATTCAGAGTGCTATTGTTTCATATCTAATGAATATCCAGCAACTTCTTATTTCATAGAAATGGGTAATCAATTTATTCAATGAATGAGTAGTTCAACACCAAGTGATTGGTCAGTTCATTACACTTTATTTATTAGAGCTTTCTGAACTTAGTATTCCAAATTGCACACTACTTTTGATAAGGCATCAAAAAATATGTAAACATAATTTTTCAGACATTCACCTCATGATAATTTGATTATCCAAAGAAACAGTCAAAATGAACATACATAGGATGGTCAATTAGGAAACATTAATGAGTTTGTTTTCAAAATAAATCAGGAAATGAATCATAACAGATGAGGACTATATTTTCAATAAATGAGATAAGATATTAAGTATTTCATGCCTTCTAAGAAAAAAAGTAACAACTACAGTAACTGAAAATATTGAACTTACAATTGTAGCCATCAGTGCATGATTCAAATCACTTTCTCAGTTTCGATATATTAAGGATTGAGGTAATTCTTGCCCGAAATAAAAATGACAAAACCGAAGTTGTGTTTTGAACCTCTTATTTTAAGGTTCCCCGCGACACATATGATGCAAAGTATGTAGGTACTAATTCAAAGAAAATAAGCTGACACATTCATTTCCATTTTTGACATTTCACTGCACTTACTTTCAGCACTTGTAACTTCAATCAATAACATTATTTTAGACTAATCGACCTGCAAAATATGTAGGCAATTTTTTCAATGATTTCTAGAATGGAAAGCTTATAAATTTTCTAGTATATTACCGAACTTTATCTTATTTAAATGTTTCCAAAAAATAGGAATCAAACTCGAATCCAATTATGAAAAAAAAATCTCACTTTGTCATGGTCAATACTGGATACAGGAGGTCATAAAGTTCGATGAACGAACGATTCAATTGAGCTTGCATTTGGTAAAATAAATACATTATGATGCTTGCATTTGGTAAAATAAATACATTATGATAGTTTTGCGGAGAAAACTACTGAAAATTTGACAAAAAATTTTTTTGTTTTCCTGGGTGTATTTTTATCAACCCTCTAAGAATATGGGGTAAAAATTCACTACTAGTTTTATCCAAATAAGGAAATGTCTCGAGTTTGGCACAGACATTGATGATCCATAATTTGGAAAACGGCATCAGCTATGGAAGGAGATGAGTAACACTTTCACTGATTCTTTTTAGGAGTTGGTCCTGATCCATATGATGAACCTTTCTTGATTTCGGACATTCCAATTGTTTTTTTCAATAGCAGGAAAACTACAAATGAACACAAAAATTTATATTGAAATTTATAGTTTTATAATGTCTAGCTTTGGCATATCTGGAAGTACAAAGTACATACCCAGAAAATGGTATTTTGTCAAAACATCTCGTTAATTATGAAGGTTTGATATACTTACATGCTCCAACAATCCCAGCACCAATGGAAAAGTATAATAATTCTCCACTAAACAACATCTTCACAAGATAATAACATATGGGTACTGAAGTAGCGAACTGCCAGAATATCACATTTAGTAAAGGGTAAATGCGGCGTTCCAGTTCGAATGGTTCTACTCGTTTGACGCCAGATGTGGAAAAAAAGTCTCCAGTTTCGATGAAACTAGCTTTCATTTTGTCCTAAAAAAAATTGAAATATCTTTTTACCAATCTTAACTTTTTTTGTTGATCTTTTTTTTCTATATAAACTTGAAACATTCATTCATGGAAGGCTGTGTAATGATACTAATACTTCGATAAGGTTGATAAAGTTAGAGCAGCCTTTTTGGGGTTGAGTCTAAGAACATTTCAGTGGAGGTCTTTTCTCTAAATGAAATGGAATCCGCCCTTTTCTCCTGTTCATTAGCTTATGGTAACAAATATGAAGTGCATAATTTATGTGAGAAATAAAGGCGATTATTATTGTTATTATTATTTTTTATCGACATTTTAGTAGTATTTATTTATTTAGATTACCCTAATGTACAAAAGTTCAATAAAAATATAATGTAAGTGAGTGTAAGTAAAAAGTAATAATAAATTAAAAATAATATATAGTTATTTTAAACAGTCAACATGATAACATCAATGATTTATTAAAGTTGAATAATCAAAAAAAAAAGAAGTATATGGATATCACAAAAAATAAATAAAACTAATTAGTATAGATACCAATGCACTCATACACATATATTAAAATTTATTATCTTCTTTGATATGCTGCAATAACGCTTGCTTGAAAGTGTGAACATTTTTGTTGTTTCTCCAAGAACCAGGCAGTTTGTTAAATTCAGTGGAGTCCTCTGAAAACCAGACTTTTCATTGCTGACCTTGAGTTTGTTCTAGATACATGGAAGCTTATATTGGTTCTACTGTCATATTGGTGGACTTCATTGTTAACTTTAATTTAATTAATAAAATACCTAGGTTAAATCCCCATTATTATTTTGAATATAAAAACCATACTTAGAAAATAAGATCTGTTTGAGATTGATAACCACTGAAGAGAATAGAGCAATAGGGGTAAGTCGATTGCACCTCAGAATTATACTCATACCTCTGTTTTGCAGTTCTTGTAGTTGACCTAACTTATTTTGATTCAGAAGATACAATAATGTAGCATATAAGTCAAAATGTGGCTGAATTATATAGTTGTATAATTCAGCCACCCTTGAAAAAAATAATATTTTTTAAATAATTTTTATAATTTAATTAGCATGACTATTAAGTGTCGGTGTTCTATCAATCATGAAACCCAGATATTTCATCTAGGTAACAATTTCAAGATATTCATTTCTAATTTTGATACTTGTGGTGCACTGTTTGGAACCTTTGGTGTAGTAATGAATATTACTGGAGTTTTATCCCAACACCAAACCGTTATTTTCAACACCTCAACACGTGTTTCAATCACCAAGTGATCATCTTCAAGAGGAAGATTAAACTAAATATACATACAATGTTATCCTTATTTACATCATATATACCTCTGCTAGGTACCTGCGTCTTAATTGTCTTGAATTAATTTTACAATGTTGCCTTATCTACTAGCCCTAAATTAATTTCACAATGTGGCCTTAAGTAATATTCAGGTAAGTCTGATAATTAAAATATTATTTCAACAAGTTGTATAGTATACTATTAGGTATTGGTCCACTATCGTTATTCATAATATTATTATTTTTATTTATTTCTACACTCTCATAGGCATCTAGATGCCTGCTGTTGTTAACTTGTCTAACTAATCTTAATGAACTGAAGTATATGGAATGGTTTTGTTGCAAAATATGATGGCGACTGCTGATTTTTCTGGTCTTCCACATTTTAAGTGTTCCTTATATCTAATTTCAATAGATCGTCACGATGGAATTGGCGGATACTTGATGAAAATTCATAACTAACGTATTAAAAAAAAACTGTTTGGTGAAAATCCCACAATAAAGTGTTTTTGAATACGTTTAATAGATCTTTAAGTCTGTTCATACTATTTTGCATCGCAGTCCTTACATTTAATTTTGTAAATTCCAGACTCTTCCGAATTCTCGACTTTGTCCCTTGGATTTCCTAAAAGGCTCTGTAGTGTATGACTTGTTTTAAATATCACCTTCATACCTAGTTCCTTGAAAATCTTTCCAAAGTTCTTGTATTGGTGGTATGGAATTGAGATATATTTATCTTGGTTTTCGTCATTTCTAAAAGTTGTTCATTCTTAAACTAAACTTTTTTTTCCTCATATCATCTACGAGGGGTATTGTTAAATGCTGTAGCCATCTCTAGTGAATCAGTAACAATATAAAGGAATAGAAAATCTATATTAAAACTAATACACTTTATTGTATGATTTTTACTATAAAGGGTTTTACAAAAACCGCGAAAAGTGTTTCACTATACAATGTCTTTCTTGAGCGTAAAATATTATTTTACGACAGTGAAAGGAGGTGGCTCAGCTCATGCTCAGGAGGTGAAAAAAATATTTTAATGAAGTTTTGGGAAATGTCAGGATTTAAAAGAAACTCAAATGTTTCCATATCTCTCTGAGATTATTTCTATTTGAATTAATATATTTGTCATAATACACAATTTTCTTCTTTTTCATTAAGTTAACATATCGATTTCTAACTGACTTATAATTCCGCCACAGTTCTTCATTCTCTTCAGTTTTACAATATCTGAAATTTCGATATGCCCTATCTTTAATAATAATGATATTACTTTGTGGTGCAAGTTCATTGACTATCATTTTGGTTTTACCAATTATATCATGCAGAACAGAATCAACATCAACACAGTCTAAATTCCAGCACTGTTTTATCAACTTTAAGTTGATCTTATGAAATGTTTCATTTGATATGTTTCTAATAATTATAATTTTATCTTCCATATTAATGCAATATTTGAAACAGTTAACTGCTATTATAGAGTGGTCTGTTATTTTTGGTAATTCCAATACATTTGCATCTATACTATCACAGTTAGTTATTACATGATCATATCACATATTTGAACTAACCTTTTGTACAAACAAGTCTCTCAAAAACTTTTCCCGATCTTCATCGCTTTGAGGTAAATCTTCCATTGGTATTCTTCTCAAAGAGAAATGGGCCTCCAAAGGTTTGCCAAATAACATACTGGTAATTGTTGGTGCATTTGGATCACTTTCTTTGAATGCCAGCTCAATGTCATAAATCGCAGGAACTTTACCTTAAAAGGATATTCAATATATAATTTTATTTAACTGAAAATCCTCCTTCAAATAATTTTTTTCACAAACAATAAGATACTGTTTGATGTTTGGAATTTCATTAACAAAAAATAATAATGAATAACCAAATTCAATTTATTTTCTATACTAATATAAATGTGAAAGTTTGTGAGGAGGGACATATGTATGAATGTATGTATATTAATTTGTGGCTCTTTCATGCCTAAACGACTCAACGGATTTAGATGAAACTTTACATAAATACAGATTGTACATCAGAATATGTTTAGGCTACAATTTACAAAGGTTTTGTGTAATTTTGGTCATAATATAACGATAAGTATTAGGTAAGCCGGAAAAATTCTTGCTCTCTGAGAGCCATCTTGGCGTGCACTGCCTATACCGTTGGAGTTACATGCAGATAATGTATTTTAAGATTGTTTATCTCAAATAGTTCTGAATAAAAGTCCGCGATAACATATATCTACCTCTTATGTGGTAGCCACTATATGCAAAATACTGAGCCATATATACAATTAAACTGGATACTTTCTTTACAGTGCTCATTTTAGAATATCTGTCAAATTCTTATGAAAATTGATACAATTTTAGTTTCAAGTATTTAATATAGATAAACTTTGTCTTTTGCACTAAGTAGTAATTTGGACGAATCGTTTAAAAGTTATCACAATAACGCAACGCAGTAAGCTATTACGCGTCTCGTCTTTCATAATACGACGGGGGACGATGCGCGGGGGTAGAGGGGCGGTCTAAGCCATGAAGCGCCATCGCCAAAGACGCTACCCGAACGCAGACAGACGCGTGAGGGCAGACGTCGCTGACGGTTGTGTTAGTTTTGCGAATTCGATTCTCGAAGCTATTCATTACTTAGTGCAGTTAGCATATTTTTTTAGTTACATACTGTATTTTCAAAGTAAAAATATAAATAACTAGCTATTGCCCCCTCTTATATTGACGTACAGCCGAATCAATAGAACCTAGAATCTTGAAATATGCAGGTAGGTTGTTTGTATAGCGTAAATAAGCTTCAAGAAAGGGAATCAGGAATTCCCACTCCCAAGCAGGAAATATAGGGGTATAAAGATTGTATTGAATTTCGTCAGTTTTGAAATTGGAAACCTGATATTTTGGGTTGATAATAAATATTGTAACTATTTCTTTAAAATGGTCTGTCACAAAACTTAATGTGACAAACCAAATTCTACGCGGGCGAAGCTGCGGGCGACAACTAGTATCATCTATTAGTATATCATATTTGAAAAACTCTGAAGGGGCGGGCACTCAATGAACGGAATATTTTTTTTAAAATTGAATCCCACTAAATTCAGGCAAATACCAAAATTGAAAATCCTGCTAAGATATTGGCTCACCTATCATTGATGGTAAACTAGCAACGAAACCCTTTGTGCGAGGAAGGAGATGATATTTTAACTGAGGAAGGTTTTGTTTTTTGGCAAATTCGATAGCTGCTTCGTGTTTTTTCTTGGTAAATCTTGTACCTTCAGGAAAAAGCAAGAGCTGAAATACAAAAATTTAATATGGATTAAGACTTTTACCTTTTAACATAAGCGATATTCTATCAAGAATAAGTAAATTTAAAATTGAAGATTGTCACTACTTAATATCCAGAAAATTTCAAAATATGTTTTAAATATGTACCTGTGTAAATATTTTTTAATGTACTCATTTAATCAATCAGCATAAAATGAAATCAGTAGAAGATAGTATAAAATTCAAAACAAACTTCACTATCTTAGTTATGGTGACTAATGTTTTTTGGCTTACATTGTTGAATCATAATCGAACTTTGTAGTAACTTTAGCAAAATCTAACTTCTTTTTCTGACACAATAAAATTTGACGAATCTAATCAAGTGAGGAATCATACTTTTTTTTACCTGTCACATTTGCAAAGATAGCCTTTATAAGGAACCTTGCAAAAATTTCTGTCAGGAAATTCAATATCCGTCACAATATAAGTCACTGAGCAGTTGCTTCAGTGCCATTTGCTAACTCATACTGTATTAGATAGCTGGGAGAGATTTAGATTTCGATAAATTGATGGATGTAGCCGTTACTACGTGGTAGAAGATCATCATGGAAAATGAGAAATAAAACTTCCTATGTTGTTTACCACTTGTATTTGTAACTAACGGTACTGCAGTTTCGTCCTATAAGGACATTTTCAAACGTATACAATAGACAGAAGTCGAAACTTGTGCGAGCTAAGGATTAACGAGGTCCTACCTTTTAACGTGTGATTCCTAACACGGATTGGACGATAGCAAGTGAAAATCGATCGTTTAGACTAGGGCTTGAACCACCTACCAACACGGCAGTCAGTTCAAGTGAGTGAACAAAGCACCCATGTCGAACCGCCTGGCTACCGACCGACATATATACTACTATAAACCATGTTTCTACCGAGAAATAATATATAGCAAGAAAAATATAAAAAGGCCTCCTAGTTGAGAGTGTAAAAAGGGAATGTGAATCTTGCGGATAAGTCTAACATTCTTTCAATGATTGAAATAACAAATAAAAATTTGCTCTACCACTTGAAATTCAAAGTTCATAATAATTATCAGATATATTGACCAAAATTTCCGAATCATACTGTTCTTGCCTCTCCTGATTCTATATTTTTTTAAATATTCACAATAATTATATTGGCACATCAACACATAATACAGAATTAAAATATTTCTCTTATATTCGTCCTCACTAGCCAATCGTTGTGCTCAATTTTGATTTCATATGCCACTGAAAAAAATAAGTTTTTCAATAGAGAATTGCAATTCAATTCAATTCAAAATGTACTTTATTGTCAAAGAAAAAAAAATCTTATTGACAAAGCATAAATAAATAAAATAAATCAGTCAATTTACAGTAAATAATTTGAAGTAAAAATGGAACAATGGATGACCTATTCATTTTGTAGAAATTCATATTGATTATAGGATAAAGATAATAACTTTTGTCTAAATTCTACTAAGCTGAATAATAAACTTAGTAAACATTAGGTAAAAGTTATTTTCTTTATCCTATATTCAATTGCAATTATTCATTAAATATTATAGTTTGAAAATATCTAAACAAAATGATTTATACTTAGTTTGAAAAATATGAGAATTATTGTGACATTGACTCAAATTAATGGAATAAACAAACTGATTACTACAACACTGATAAGCACTGGAATGTCATTAACCAATTGTTGTTCTATAAAAGGTTTTCTATAATGAAAATCCTCCCAGAATATTTATTTTTTGATGAAGGATAGAAAGTCATCCTTCATTAAATAATAGAGGATAATTGCCATAGACGATGGCCACAGAATAAGCAAGATATGCATGACAAGTTTTTAGATGCCTTCAAAAATTTTGAAATCGAAAAATATGGAATAAAAAATATGAACAGTGATAAAGGGTCCCATTACTAATAGCTTATAGTTTGCACTAGTACAAAAATAGGTTAAATATTCAGTACCAGTCAGGTAAATACTAGGAAATTATTAATCGACCCTCATTATGCAAGATAATGATACCATTACCATAAGGAGTAGTTTTAGTCATCTCCTGATGATGCCTTCAAGAGACAGCATTTTCGTTCCGGTTAGGAAAAGGTGTTTCCAATAGATTTAAAGCTTATATAAAAAATATACAAATATTCATTTTATCTATAGGTAAAATTTATAAATAGGGCCATTTACTTGATAATCATATGGTTTAAATTGCGCGATAGCCAAACTTTCTACTTCTGCCTGCGCTAATGCGGCTTTGTTACAACACCGTAGCAAACTAACCTTCAGTTGTTTGGATACTGAATATATGAAACTATTCACTACCTATTGCTGCATATGTAGTAAATATCCATAACAGAACTTTTCCTAAACTGAAATGGGTATATTTTAAGGAAAAAATAATTTTTGGGAAAGAAAGGCTTTGGCTTTCTATTTCTTCATCTTTATACAAAAAAAGTGGGAATCTTCCAAAGGAAGGAAGAGAGCAATTACTTTCATAATGGGAAAAAACCATTTCGAAACAACTACTTTCATATAAACATTGAATTACATGAAAGAAAAAATAAGTTTGAAAAAATTACTTTTATATGAACATTGAATTATTCAGTTTTCACTCCAAACAGTCGTTATGGAATTGAATCAGATATCATTCACAGAATTGCTACACAATCTATCTGAGAGGTAAAATTTCACTTACATGGAACACTGTCATCCTCATTAGCATATATCCAATGTTTCGGAATAAGACATTTGCCTTATTGCCTCTTCAACACCTTAAAATTATGACTTAATGTCACGAATGAGTTAAATCAGGAGAGATTGATTTTTGGGAAAGAAAAGTTTTGGCTTTCTACTTCTCCATTTGTTTTTATGAAGTAGAAGTAGAAAGCCAAAAACCTTTCCCAACATTTTTGTCTTATGAATCATAGTGCTGATAATGTCATAAATCAATTCATAAGCATGTACATGGCTACATTCAGTCATGGCTACAGCAGTCAATTTTAAAAAATCAGACACTCACATGAGCTGTTATTTCTTTTTTTGTACAACAGATATCTAAACATTAACATTTAAATATAACTTTGTTTACAAGCCAAGACATTTTTACTAGACTGCTATCAAAAAATATAAATATATAAATGTATGTAATAGAGAGATTACTAGTTATTTATTCTGAATAACAAACAAAAACAAAGATTCCCCTTTCAGATTGGCCATATGGTTATTCAGAATATTCCAACAATCATGTGATGAATTGAAGATTTTACGGGTGAACCCCAATATTACTGTTAATGCAAGGATTTTGAACCATTCATATAAATCCCCAAATGTTATGCTATCTATTTTTTTTATAATTATAGGTCAAATTTATTTCATTAACACAATATATTATCTGAAATATTTCATTAATTTTAGTAGGAGGCAATGAGTCAATGTCCCTAAAATAGGGCTGAGATTTTTGCTTTATTATGTAACATTAATAAAACTAATAGCATAAGCCTATAAGACAAACACTGGTTTCATTAGTCATAGATTCAAAATCATACAAGTGAAATCAATGAAGTTAGGTATATTTGACAAAAAATGTTATCAAATATTGATAAGAGATTGAATGACTGATTTCAATAATAATAACTGTTTCATGGATTGAAAAACTACAATTCATTTCTGAATACATCATTGAAAATAGAAATGTCATAAAGTATGAAGACAATGACAGTACAGAGTTTTGGGTTACTTTGAACATTATATAATATAGATCATTCAAATACCACCGCCTGTGCATTTGACCTTGAGACTTTGTACTCAGTTTGCTCTTAGGTCAAAGTTTAATTTTTTCTCTGAAAACCTGCGGGCATGGGTTTTGTAATATTGTTCAAAGTTCATTAATATATTAATATAAATAAATATACCTTCGACTTATTCACTTAGTGCTTCCTTAGCAATAATTAGAATGGATCATCTTACTTTACCATATAAATGAATATCACAACATTGTTAACCATTTGTTCATTAATGATTAAATATGTTTGTTAAGTTTAGGAATTGAAAATATATTCTACTAGCAAATAGCTACTTCAGATTCAACAATTTTTCATCTTTCAAGAAGAAGAATGATGCGACTGTGTTTTAGTTTTTTATTAATGAACATCTGGAGATCAGTTTGTTGTATCGAACTTTCAACACTCTGCTTTTTATAGTAAAAAAAGTATGATCCAAAAATACAAATTGAAATTTATTAAATTCAAATGTCACTTACCCATATGGGATCAGGATGCTCAGCTAATTCAGTAATCTGTCTATTAATAATTTCCTTATCCTTGTCAAAATTTCTTTCTAGAAAAACAAAGTCGGAACATTTCCATCCCCAGCCTAACACTGGAATATACTGAATAATTTTTTTGGCATAAGCTTTACAATTCTGAAACAAATATTAGATTCAATTGATAAAGAATAGCATTTTATTTGGTTACTGAAAATATCCCTTCAAAGTGTAGTGATAAAAATTTAATAGTGAATTATTACACAACAGTTTCGACACAAATGCGGGATTGAAGTAGCAACTTTCAGTGCATAGAAATATATACAAGGTTCAATGTCTCTGCTATCCCCCAAATGTGAAGTATTAGCTATGTACGGAACCGTTTTGTATTGGTCTGATTATTAATTAAAAACAATCATAAGTATTCTATTTTGTTGATCCTAAATCACAGGGCTTAATTTCCCAACTTACACCCAGGACACCAATTCTTTCTGCCATCATCCAACCTATTAACCAATCCACCTCATATGTATGGTTCATGATACAGTAGGCATGCTCCTTCCCATAATACTTATTGAATTCTTCTTTGTCAATATAGAAAAATATCTTCGTTTCTGACCACCAATCTCCCACAAACACCAATTCTAAAAAAAATATTGATCTGAATAACATAGCGTAAAAGTGTTAGTATTACTTACGAGAGTAGATTGTCCAACACAGGTACCAATTTATTTTTCTGTAAATTGTTTTGCTGAATGGGCGAATGGTTAAATAAAGTAAACATTGTGCCACATTAACTATAACACCTGAAGTAAAAAAAGTTATTGAAATGCACAGGTGAATGAGTCTGGACTGTTTCAAAAAGTACAGTTTTGAGAAATCCATTTTCCGCTTAGCTTATACAACTAGAACAGAAATATATACATTGAAACAAAGTATCTATCCATACATATTATTAAGTTATTTCGAGTTTGTATACAATTATCAATAAAACTAACCTTGATATTTCACTGATGTTTACACAGCAAAGTTGAGGAGAATACTGCGAACAGCGAACACAAACATCGATAGGATTTGATTCAAGTATCAATCAAGGTATCAATATTAATACCCTACACAATGATTTTTAACTTTATTACGTCACATCTTTCATTCAAAATGTAAATATTATTTAAAATGTCAGGATGACAAATGACTTGTATCTTTGGGGTTTACATCTGAGTCATTTCTCCCGATCCTTTTCTAGGAGATCGTTGCCGACAAACTTACGTCATTTTAGCAAAGCTAATATTTTGACAATAATATTCAGCCAAAAATGTATGCATACTTGTTATCCCAATAGCGATCACTTTCACAAATCATATAAAACTATTTTAGACATCCTGCCCTAATTACACCTCGAGTGTAAACATCCTGACGGCATGCTACTCTTATTAATAAACGATACACTCTCCTTAGAATATACCTAATACATTTTTGTGGAATGATCGACAATACATTAGGTGTATTATTACATTTGGGAATTAAAAACGTCGTGACGATCGGCCTTTGAAAATAGATTACGTGATAACATTATGAAGGATCCCGTTTCAAAGCTAGAATTAACGGTTCTAATAATTGAGTAATTGATCCGGTGTTAGCGGCTAGAGAAAATCTGAAAAATAATTATTGTTGCTTTAAGATATTCATTCGTATGGATGTGTTATTTTGAAAAAGATGTGAAGGATGTCTCATGATTCCAATCTTGAAGAATGTGATTGAGATATTTGGAGTGCCCCATACATTTTGATGACGTTAAATTTGACATGTTAATTTTTTTTTTGTCATCAGTTGTAACACATGAGTTCTGAGTTGTCATAATAATTAATATGAATTTTACTAGTTGGGATTTCCATTGTCTTATATAATAAATATGATTTGAAATCTCTGAAAAAACAAATGAAATTAAAACCGAAAATCCACTCACACGGGACAGTATATCTGAATTACCAATCCAACCAACCACCATCAATCGACTAAGAGAAAAATCATCAAGATTCTAGTATAGACCGTGCTTTCGGGCTCTGGTTAGAAGACAGCAATAGCTTTATAAAGAAGAGAAGCCGTCACAACCAGTGATTGCGCTTCTCTACGTCAGAGAATTGTCGGAATGGATAAAAAGAATTGGGCCCAAGTACAACATCAGAATCTGCTTCAGATCCGGAAACACATCCGTAGCAGCCTCACGCAAACCAGGGCACCAAAGGCTGACTGCGATTTCAAGAATTGCATTTACCGGATACCCTTTGAGTGCGGAAAATCCTATACCTATCGGTGGAAGTAAGAGGCCATTGAAAGTACGCATTGCCGAGCACAAGAGAAACACACAGCGAGAAGAATCCAGCAAATCGGGAATAGCAGAGTGGTCTCAAGCTGAGATCATCCACAGGGTGGAACCCTGGTTTAAGAGAAAGTTCACAGAAGCTGCATATATGTTGTCAACGACGCATTTAGTCAAGCTCCCACTAAACCGGTGAAGCGGGATAGGCGAATGCCTTCGAATGACCTATAGAATAGTCATCTCTCGAAGGAATAGTCCAGTCATCACCTAAAGACGATTGTGGATACTGACAATCGAAACTTCGTGAAGTAATTTTGTTTGAAATTTTTTTATTTTCTATTCCATTTTAATTGTTCAATTCTAAATTTTCTGCTATTTTTATTCTATTGTAATTTCATTTCAGGATTTTTGCTTGATATAATTGTTATTTTTAGTATTGATTTATTAATTTTATTTGTTGTTTGAGGGATTTCAATTCATATTATATTACATATATTAGATAATGGAAGTCAGAACCATGAAACATCGTCAACTACTTTCAAACAAATAAAGTAATTAATATATTTTATATCTTAAGCATTTCTAAAATGTACCCAACATCAGGTTATACTTAGTTTGAAGCTTTATTATGTTTTGCTTCCAAAGTGTCTTAGAAGCGGAATTCTTGATTGATAGTTTTGGAACTATTGAATAATATATTAGGTAATAATGAAACTAGAAAGATTACTAAGTGTCGTTCAAAATTGATTTTAACGGTTGGCCCATTGAATTATGTTCGTATTAAAAAAATCAACCACCGCCAAGCAAGTTTAGGATTATTTGGCGGAATAACGAGAAGAGTCGGACTGTTCTATACAATATCTTTGAAATTAGAAAAAGGTCGTTCCGTTTGATATGTTGATACAATCGTCTCTAAAGTTTAGTGGGTCTCACAGTGGATTGCTTCCTTCCTGTCTTTGGAAGATTTCCACATTTTTTTGTTTAAAATTGAGGAATAAAAAGTTGAAACCTTTCTTTCCCAAAATTTAATCTCCGCTAAAAATATATTCCAACTTTGAAGCCATTCTTGCAAACATAGTAAGTATGCAAAAAAACTCTCGTCCGCAGATCTTACCATTCTTTTTTTGTTTAGGAAACGGTGAATATTTATTCTACTCTCAGAATCTTTGCACATTAGGCACCCATGCCCATGGTACATAAATTCTTCTGGCTTTCGGACTGGGGGGGAAGGTTAAGCCTCAACAAAAACCCATTCGTTGCTATGTTGGCCATGATCTCCAAAAATTATTCTCTCATCAGTAGTACAGATTACGAGACTGGAGCTTTCACACTTCATTCGCAGACTGTACAGATTCACAGTTATTCAGGTCCGCAACAATTCATTGCTATGATGCATTCATTCTGATATTTGAGACGTCTTCAAGTAAGACTTTATTGTGAGATTTTCACTGGTTAGCTTACAAAACTGCAACACGTGTTTCCTTATACAATTGCTTCTTCAAGCGTTTCCCTACTGAAAGAATTCTACCTAATTTTTGCTTAATATAGAGGAAATGCGTACAAAATGACATAGGCGGATTAATTTGAATTTAGCGGACTTTAACACGAAACTGACAGTGACACCACGTGGCCATATTATTTCAGTTACCAAAATGCCACGCGATTATAAACGAACGGCAATCTTGGATTACGAAGTCAATGAATGAAGCCATCGAAGTAGTTCGAGATAAGAAAATGGGTTGGTTATGGGCTTCAAAAACATTTGATGTTCCTCAAACATCTCTTCGCAGGCATTTTTTTTGGCACTAATAAAACTTTGGAGTCAAATTTAAAAGGCCGCGGTTGTTAGAAAGCTACCTTTCCACCTGATATGAAAAGGCAATTAGTTGAGCATATAAAATTCCTTGGAAGTCGTTTGATCGGATTGACATCGGTAAAAGAATTAGCTTTTCAGATGGCTGAGGAAAACGGTTTCGCTCATAAATTTAAGACTCAAAAGCAAAAGGCAGGTCAAGACTGGTTGGATGGATTTCTAAGACGTAATAAAGATATATCTTTGAGCTAACCAGAAGCTACTTCAGCTGCAGGTCCAAAAGTTTTATCAGTTGTACGGAAGCTTACTAGAATCTGTTGGCTATAGACCGCACCGTATTTATAATGCTGATGAATCTGGGCTATATACCGTACAGAACCTGAAAAGATTTTAGCTACCACGGGAAGGAAACAATTCGAAGTTACAACTAGTGCGGAGCGTGAAGCAAACACCACTGTTGTTTGTTGTGTTAATGTTGTTGGAACTTTCATATCGCCGATGATGATATTTCCTATGAAAAATATGAAAAACGAACTTGTAGATGAAGCTCCTCCTGGCACTTTAGGGGTAGCTCAACAATCAGGTTAGATGACAACTGAAATATTTATGAAATGGATAAAGCGTTTTCAAAGTATTGTAAAAGCAAACATTGACAATAAAATAATTCTAATTGTCGATGGACATGCAAGTCATAAATGCGTTGAAACTTTGGAATCTGCAAAAGAAAACGTTATTCATGTTATTTGTCTGCCTTCACATTGCACTTATCGTATGCAACCTTTTTTGGGCCTTTGAAGACCCACTATAACCAAGAAATTGTTAAATAGCTGAAGGTACATCCTGGGCGTGTTGTTGCGCATCTTCAGATTGCCGGCTTGTTCAACGAAGCATATGGCAAGACAACTACGGTGCAAATTGCTTGTCACGGATTTGAAACCACTGGCATCTGGCCGTTGAACCCTGATATACACGAACATACACACTGGAAGACAACTCCAATGAAAAGCCTTTTCAAGCTGCAACAGTAATGTGCTCTGTCGAGTCTGAACAGGTTTTGACACAACCCTTCACAACAAGCAGCAGATTCAGTTCCTGTGACAAATACGTTTCAAGTTGCTGTGGCGCCTACGTTACCTCTCGTTCAGCCAGGGTCCCATGATATGATTTCTGAAGAACAAGCTGAAAATTCATCTCAGGTTCCAACAACAAGCTCCGGTCTAGAAGTTGTTTTAACTATTGCTCCTACCAATTAACGTCTATAGTCTTCTGCTTTTGCTGTTTCTATTGAGGTGCTTTCTCCGGTACCAAAAGACTGTTTTATTAGTGGCCAAGGAAAACGTAAACCAAAAACACCACAGAGTTCGTTGGTGTTGACTTGTTAGAAATAAAATCTCAAAATGTGCCTAAAACTATCCCAACAAAGAAGAAACGCAAAGCCACTAAAAAACTATTTGAAGAAAATAATGAGAGGGAAGGTTTTCTTAACATTTCTCATGACGATGAAGAGGACTGTGTTTGCATTTACTGTAACGACTTTTATTCAAGATCTAAGCCCGGAAAAGATTGGTTGCGGTGCTTACAATGTTCGCTTTGAGCTCACGCTTCTTGTGCCGATGTTCCAAGAAGAACTAAACGTTTTATTTGAGAATGATGTCAATAATTTTGTAGCTATTATATGTGTGTCATATTGTCCATTAGCAATATGTCATTTTTTTCGAAGCATATGGACAAAATGGATTATGATTAATCTCAGTTAAATATATTTTTTTTGTACATTTTTTGCTGAAAATTTTTATTAGTTTCGATAATGTAAGGACCAAAGATGATTTATATAAGCTATGGATGTGCTGTGAACTACCAATAAAAAATTATTGTAGTGTATTTCGTTTCCGAAATATCTACTTCCCTTACTGTACTACATACCGCTTTGTTTTTATTTACTTCTTATGAAGGGTTTTTATAATGTCCGTTGGTTTCCTGCATTGTAAAAGCACATTATTTTTCAGTTGTTGTTCACATAATTTTCGTAATATATATTATATTATCGATTGGGGAAAGTATTTTTTTTGTTTTATAGTAACACCAAACCCCAGAAATAGCAATTATGATACAAAACAAAAATATATGTCATTTTGTACACACTTTCCCTAATGACAATTTGGATCATATGACCTACCTACGAAATGACTACGAAAAAACTGCAAAGAAAAAAACCATTTACCAGGTCTATTTCACTTCAACAAACAATAAAGCGTCATAAAACATTGACTTACTTTACTGAACCCACCATTAATATCGCTCGTTTTTAGAATAGATCAGGAGTATAAGAGTTGATTTATGGTTCCTGCCCAAAACTTTATATTGGCCAAATTCAACAAAAAAACAACCCAAACAAAGATAGATGCGTGATCAAAGTATGAACACCACGCACATTTGTAGCTATTGTGTAAAATAAACAAGCCTCCTAACGTTGGCCAATCAGATTTAACTGTAATCGGCTGACGGAATTCATGTTACAATGTCGGAGTGGTCAGTTACGTTTTAACACCTGTTGCGTGTACATATACTGTATTTTGAAGTTTAATATTTTTGAAATGTCATGTACTGTTAATTTGTGTCCCAATACTCCACCTAAAAAAATCCTACACCCAGCCGCATATTATTGAAAAAAATGGGTCGTTCCTTAGTGCTACTCTGTACAGAGTGGGCCAAATTGAACACTTTTAAAGAAACTTCTATTTTCAAACTAAATTATATTATCTGTATTTCAAAGATGACTCTAATAAAACATCAAGTGTGCTACATTTTTGGAAAGGTAATTTTAAGCTCTATTTAAATATGCAGAAATATACTGGGTGTCTCATTAAAACAATTGTTTTTCATCAATAACTATTGATGATATTTTGAAAAAAATAAGTTTTTTACACCATTGAATACTACGTAAAAAGTGTTTTGCGAATGTTTTCATAGAAACAAGATTTTTTTAACATTTTTGAAAAATATGCTGTAACTCAGAAACAATGATAGATTTTGATATGTGGTTTTCACTATTGAGTTTGTCATAAAATTCGACCCTCAGACACAACCAGCAGTTTTCATCTATCTAGTTTGCAAACAGGAGTTTTTCTTCAAAAGGGTCCAATTTAACCCACTCTGTACAAGCAGCCTTGTCTGGGAGATCACGTGTCCTATTATGCATGATAATGTTTTGGATGTGAAGAACAAATTGTAATTAGATGTGAAAGCTTCTCTTGTCAACATAAGACGAAATATTTTATATATTTTCACATTCAGTTTTTATGAATTCCATTCGTAACATGATCGTGAATAAAAAGTCATCACATATAAGTATCTTAGGAAATGGTAGGAATTTACATATCACACATGTTATTACTACTCATGAATATGAATATGGGAAGTTCATACAATAATGCACCTAATTGTCTATAAAATTGAGTAAAATCAGCAGTGTAATGAAGTTAAGATGGTACATAATGACCTACTAATAAGAATTGTGAAAATAAAAAACCATTCATCTTCTGGCAGATATACTATCATTTCAGGTCAAGCCCATATGATACTGATTATTCAATCCCAGTGAAAGTGTGGTTGCATCCATTGCCGTGCATTCATTTTTTCGTCATTGAAATACTAGGTTCGTATAAGCGTCTTGATAATAATAATAATAATAAATAGTTCATTCACAAATATACAATATTGAATAGGTAACATATTATGATTGTCTAGTTTGCGGTTAAACTATCTGAAAACCGAAAGTACGAAGTACTTGTAGGTTTTTGAGTAATTACATGTCTATTGCTTAAATCCTACCCCTAAAAGAACCCAGTTCTTGATACACGATGTAAAGAGATTAAACAGTTGAATATTACTGGAGTTTTTTCCCAACACCAAATCGTTATTTTTAACACCTCGACACGTGTTTCGATCACCAAGTGATCATCTTCAAAGAGGAAGATCAAACCAGTTTCAGTATCATTTGCATTTTACCGTTTTTAGATATATTGAGTAGATTGTTGAGATATAGGTTAAATAAAATCGGTCCCAGCACGGTGCCCTGGGGGACGCCGTGCTCTATTATCCCTGCATCACTCCTGGTCCCATCAATTTGAACATATTGTATACGATTAGTGAGATATGTTCTTAAAAGCTGTAGTGCTCTTCCTCGAAAGCCAACTTGCTCTAGTTTTTTCAATAGCCTAGTATGGTTAACTGTATCAAAGGTTTTACCTAGGTCGACAAAGATACCTTAAGTTGGTTTACTATCGTCTAAATTTTCGTATATAATTTTTGTTACTTGAGCTATAGCGTCTTGGGTAGATTTGCCTGATTGAAAACCATATTGTCTATCAGATATTACATTTTTTTCTTCAAGAAGCTATCAATTCTGCTTTTTATGATTTTTTCGATGACTTTGGCGATACAAGATATACGTGTAATTGGCCTATAGTTAATTATAGTTTCTTTATGTCCATTTTTGTGAAGTGAATTAATTATGCCAATTTTTAGTTGTTGTGGAAACTGGCCACTTTCAAAAATTTCATTAGTAAGCTAACTCAGAGGTTTAGCTAAATTATCACAGGTTTCTTTCAGTAATTCTGATGTTATACTGTTGTATCCAGGCGCTTTGCCTGATTTTGGGGATTTTATTATTGATTTCAGTTTAAAGGGATTAGCTGGAAATAGGAATTGTTTCATTTATTAAGTTTGTATCTTCGGTGTAATTATTCGGAGAGGATATTTTTGTCGCGAGATTGTTTCCTACATTCAAGTAGTGTTTATTGAAAGCATTGGAAATGTCTGTTTTGTCAGTTATTATGACATTATCTGATGTTTTAATTTTTTTTATTGTATGATGGTTTTTATTTTCGTTACACTTTTTTTTACAGCTTCCCACAGGCCCTTTGAAGATCCCTTATTCCGTTGTATTTCTTTATCAAAATATTGCATTCTTGCATTTTTTTATTAGCAGATTCAGCTTGTTCCTATATTTTCTATAAGTGTTTTGAATATCTTCGTCATTTGGATTACGTTTTGCTTGTTTACATAGTTGTTTTTTTTTGTTCACCGATACAATGATTGCCTTTGTTATCCAAGATTTCTTTTTATCAGAATGTAATTTTACTAGTTTTGCGTGTTTACTTATAATTGACTTGATTTTTTGTATTAGTATTTCAGTGATTTCTTCAACTTCATGAACTGTTGTAAGAATATCCCAGTTTTCGTTATCAAGATCTTTTTGTAGATTTTTGTAATCCAAATAAGTTTTATATTTCTTACATTCATTTTAAAGTTCTGAATGATCTTTGTTTTCACTGAGCTTCATATTTATCATTGTGGAGTAGTGGTCTGTGGTTTCTGTTTCGAAAATAAGAGGTATAAAGTTTTCAGAGGCAATTTTTGTTTTGATGAATATATGATCGATACAAGAAGTGCTAATTTCGCTCACTCTTGTATTTTCATTAATTCAATAAATATAACCGTTTGTACTCATTATATTCTAATAGTGCTGTGAAAAATCTGCATCTGAAAGGATGTTAATATTCATGTCTCCAATGATCATAGTTGTTTCAATATTTTGTTCCTGTTACTGATTTTCTAGTAAAGGCATGTTGATGGTGATCTGTAAATAACTGACTTTCATTTTGGTTTTTGAGTTATTCAGAGTTAACACAATCTTCAAAACTTTAATATTCCCTATATTCTCTGTGGTAGTCAAACAATCATATTCTGCCCGTAAGTAAATAACTACACCATCATTCTGGTTCAGATCTCCCTGATTATAAAAGAGTTTATATCCTCGGCTTGCTCGTGGAAGGAAGAGTGGTTGGTATCATAATATGATCAAAGTAAGTAAGTAATGTTATTCACAATACCACAAGCCAGAACAATTAAACCATAATTTGATTAGACTGCAGAATATTTCGGAGCAATTCAATTTTTGCAGTAGATCTCCTGATATATGGCTAGAACTAATGTTCTCATGTTTGAAAATCAAAATCTACTCAGTTTCATTCCTATAATGATTATTTATTGACTGTAAATAGTGGAAATTACCGTGTATCTATGAAATATTTTTCAACTGTTTTTATGTCACACAACTGGCCGTATTAGTGGTTAATATAAATCTGCTGATAACATAACACAATATTCATCAATTCTGAGACGGGATTAATTTTGCCGGGTCAGAGATAGTGCTGTCATAATTAAAATGTTGGAATCATTATTCTCATGTGTAAAACAATAGTTATAAAACGCAAAATTAAAAATTTAAAACTGCCTATACGAATTTTTCAAAAAAAATTAACGTCCTATTTTGGGTTTGAAACCAAAACCATTTGGTCGTGAGTCGAACACGTTACTACTGCATCTAGTTCATTCTACAACAATTGAAATAATACCATAATAAATCTATAACTAATATATTCTCCACTTTTTTACCAATTTTTCAATAATGTCTGTGATTCGTAGCACCGAAACAGTTTCAAACATTTTTGTAGACCCGCGGCCCAACGTAATGATGCGCCTATGTTTCTCGCTGGTTGGAGCAGAGATGTCCATTGGTGATGGTAACAACCCCTTTGGAGTGTGGGAAATGTGAAAGAGTAGGAAAACCCATAAAAACTAATTGTGCAATACCTGCGTGCCTGCAATAATTTGATTTAATCGTGTAAAGTGCGCACTCCGCAAAGAAGTGGTTGAAATATTTTCAAAAATGCATCGTAATAGTATATATTTGTACGGAGTGTTTTTCATCTTTGTCACAATCAACGCAAAAGTAAGTTTTTGAAAGTACTTTTGAATTTACAAATGTTTTTACCAGCCGTATTTCCCTCTCTATAAGTCCTTTTCGAAAAACCTTCGAAACATTGATTTTTTCCTCAAGAGAAAAGTGTTTTGCTCTATATATAAGTTAGTTCAAAACGACAATAAAATTTACTATAAGTTTTTATTTTCGACTTTAAAAATCTTCAGGAAAAATTAAATATTTATGAAGATGAAACATTGATGATCACTTATAAGATCCAACATTAATTTTTTGAAACTAAAATTTGGTAATTATTGAGAAAGAAAACAATATCCTTATGGACCAATGAAAAAACATTTTTATTGATTTTTCCTGGTTAAATTTTTCGAAAAACTTGGCCGATGACTATTGAAGATCAATGACTAATACAGATCAAAGATCAACATCATTATTATTCACAAGCTTAAATAAAACAATGAGATTCGTGAAGCTGCATATGGCTAAAATGTGGAGACTTGTCAAAAAAGGAAAAACCGATCTAAGTATATGTAGAGTGATTAGTTCAAGGACTCCAACACATGTACAGAAAATTAATTCTTTAAAATTGTCACTTCAAACAGTTCTTAAAAATGGTAAACAGATGTTTGTAGTAGTGACGAGTGTTTTTTCAAATTATTCACAGTGACAACACAATTCGTGGCTGGTGCAATTTGTTTTTAGTCTTTCTTCTTTTGTTTATTGATTCTAAGTGGTTTATCAGTATAACATTGTGATAATACTGTATAAGCTGATTTCATTAGTTCAGACTTCCATTTTGCAATATGATTCTACTATGATCCGAAATATATAAAGGAACAAATACAATCAGAATGAATAGCTAAAATACCAATCATTTTCAGCAATGAAGCGTGAACTTTCAGTTATTCATTTTAATTCTATTTGTTCCTTCATAGTAGAATCATATTAGACAATGGAAGTCCGAATTAATGAAATTTCCTATGAAACATTGTAAACCACTCTCAAACAAACTGTATATGGTTGAGATCTACATTGATATTATTCTAAATAAAAAAATAAACAAAATTATTAGACTTCGCGAGATAGTGGTGACTTATTTTCGATGTAATGCTTATAATACAAATTTCCTATAACAAGTTCAAACTCTGTTGCAAATGAGCACTCTTACCGGCTTCTAACGTGCATCCACTGTCACTGGGCAGAATCATATCGAAATTCAGAAAGCTCTTCCTACATCTGATAAGAATTACATACAACACCCATTATTATCCATAATTTATTTTTACAGCACACCGAGGTTAATAGATGTGACATACCTCCTACAGCACCAAAAAGAATCGAAGAAATCATCAATAAATGTCAGGATGAAATTAAATTAACAATATTATCAGGTATGTTTTTTATTGTACATTAAGTAGATGTATATTTTGAAAGCTTTTTTCTTCATCTCCTGAAGACGCCAACTTTTGATTCGTGACACGCGTCGAGAAAAATATTGCATTCCTGGTGATTGGAATAAGTGCTTGTTTTGAATTTTTTTCGCATTCATAATCAGTACTAGCAATATCTAGAATCATGACGGACCAAGTTATTTATTTCATTCAATCCATCCCATCTCACTTAAGGAAAGGTGCGGCCATCTACCTTTGGTCTCTTGAGTACTAATGTTTCAAGGGCACTTCATATCTGTCAAACCAAGCTATTGAGGAATTTCCCTGCTATTATTCCAAACCCATGATTTTGAAATCAAACCATCTCAGACCATTTAGAGAAGAAGCACATGACAACCATTTGGTATGTGTTTCCATTATAAGACTCAGAAAAGGTCAGGGGGGTTCCGGAAATATAAGGTACCATTTTTCCTCGATTCCTCGTTGAAGTAAAACTCTTGAAGAACAATCAATTCAGTGGTATCTCTCACAAACTCATGCTATGATTCCTTTTCATGCAGAAGTATTTTTTGCTCAACTATTATGGAATCGTACCTCCAAATCTTTGATTTGCTAGTGGACGAAATTGTATTAGCCAACGAATTCAATTTTAACTTCACCAAAGCACCTGAGGCTAACTTAGAGTGTGACATGGACTTCGTAAATAAGAGTGTACCTCTGTACTCTAACACATTTGATATGTCCCCAATAACAGAAAATTACCCCTTAGAATTAATTCTCAGCTTGAAAAATTCAATATCCCTTGAAATGGATAGATTTAGTAATTCTCTCCAGGAACAAATTGGTCTCAGTATATATAAACTCAGAAAAACTGAAATACGCGAGGGCGAGGGTGTGTCCAGTATACAAAAAAGGAGACCAGAATGATCTGAATAACTATAGATCAATAAGTATTATTTCTAGTATTCCAAAACTATTTGAGCTAAATATGAAGAACCAGTTGTGTACTTTTTTTGACAAATATAATCTGTTTTCGTCATCGCAGCATGATTTCATCAAAAAGAAAAGAACAGAGTCTGATCTCTCAAAATTCCAGAGCTATGTGATGAAACATCTGGACCATAACAAATTTATACTGGGCCTATTTCTGGACTTCTCATGCCCTCTCAACTGCGTCGATCGTAAACTACTGATTTCTAAGTTAGCTAGATATGGTGTCAGGGGTGTACCCCTGCACCTTCTAGAGTATTTTCTAAGCAATCGAAAGCAAGTTGTGAAATTTAATCAGTCCTACTCGGATACCTTACACATTCCTCAAAGAGTTCCCCAAGGCTTGATCCTGGGCCCATTTCTCTATGTAGTTTATGCAAATAACCTCATAATATATCTCAATATGACTAACAACTGTTAGTACGACGATACTAATGTATTGGTGGCTCAGAACGACATGAATGCATCAAAAATTTTGCCGAAAATATTCTGGAAAATATGCTGAAGTGGTCGAAAAATAATAATCTTAATTTAAATACATCAAAGACTAATGCTATGTTATTCACTCTGCGTGGGCACAATCTAAACTGCAAACTTTTTGATGGTACCAACAGTGTAAAATAAATGTCAACATCAGAGTGAATGCTGGGTATAACTTCTGACGAAAACTTAATCTGGACCTCACATATTGACAACCTATGCACAGAACCGAGAAAATTTTGCCGAAGTTTATCGCAAATCATTGCAGTGAAGATATGTTGCTGATCCTGTATCATGCTAATTTCCACTCTCACCTGAAATATAGCATTTTGAACTGGGGAAATTGCTCCTCTGTGAACAGAGTGTTTACTCTACAAAAATATGTCATACGAATATTGGTAAAACTAGGCTCTAGAGACTCGTGTAGAGATTTCTTCAAACAAAGATCACCAATATGTCTAAACGTTTACGTAACCATAACACTAGAGAAAAAGAGTTGCTACTACCATTACGCCATCGTACCGCTCTCTTTCACAGAAGTTATAAAGTGAATGGATATGAGTTTTTCAATATTTTGCCCGAGACCGTAAAAAACTGTAAGAACATACATGTGTTTAAAACAATGACAAAACTCATATTACAAAAAAATTGTTATACTTCCGAAGAATTCCTCATCTATGTCTTGAAGTTTTTTTAAGTTTTCCTTTCTAGAGTGCCACCTAGATTTAGCCAAAGCCTCGGTAGATAATAACATTATCCTGAGGTGGGTTAAAGGACACGACAAGGGTAAAGGTAATCGCATTGCCGACTCTTTAGCCAAGGAAGCGGCTGGACTAAAAATTTTAGGACCCAGTAGCACCCACGGCCTGATGACTTCGACAATTGCGGAACTAGTCAAATGTTACACCCATGCTCAATCCTTAAAGAGATGGGATGAAATCAAAGGATGTAATCTTGTCAGGATCATCTTGAGCGACCCTGGGAAGCTGGCGCCGAAGAAATATCTGGCGATGACCAGGAAAAATCTACGCCTTACAGTAGGATTTCTGACTGGCCACTGTCAACTAAGGAAACACCTCCATAATATAGGGCTAGTGGACACACCTCTATGCAGGATGTGTGAAAAGGAAGATGAGACTGTCAGGCATGTCCTGTGCGAGTGCCCGGAGTTATCGTCAATAAGAGAGTGTGTGTCTTGGTCTACACCTGCCGATATAAAGGAGATGTCTCCCAGCGACCTGTCCACCTTCCTGGAAAGGACAGGATGGACGATGACCTAGGAGGACAACTCCTCGGGAGGATGTACAATGAGTAACATGTGGCACAAGTGCGTGGGCTTACACTCACCCTCCCTACTCTACAGATACAGATACAGAAGTTTTTCTTTCTTAATCTCTGTGACTGTTTATAAATTATTTATTATTTACTGTTTACAGGTATATATAATAAATTATGTAAAGCGCCCATTGACGTCTTTTACAATAATTTGGTCATAGTGTACATTCAACCCACTTGTATCATTGTGTACAACCTTATTAATTGAAATAAACTAGTATTATTATTATTATTACTGATACACTATCAATATCTAACCAGAGTTCTCCCCGATATGCAATAGAACATCGCCTAAAAATGAACCCAGTAACCCTTGATATTTTTAAATATCATTCATAGGTTTATCATTTTATACCCTTATGTTATCAACCCAATTTTATTCTCATCGATTGCATCACATATTTCCCTCGTTGTATTTCGTTAACAATATATGCATTTTCTGGGGCGTTGACGACGGGTGCCTTATGACGTTTTTTCTTAATAGACTGATGTGCTTTGGAATATTACTGGAGCTTTATCCCAATACCAAACCGTTATTTTCAACACCTCGACACGTGTTTCAATCACCAGGTGATCATCTTCAAAAGGAAGATTAAATCTTTTAGTTGAATCTTTAAGTTTCAATCACCAGGTGATCATCTTCAAAAGGAAGATTAAATCATTGAGTTCAATCTTCCTCTTGAAAATGATTGAAACACGTGTCGATGTATTAAAAATAACGGTTTGGTATTGGGATAAAACTCCAGTAATACTCATTATTGCACCAATGGTTCCAAACCAAATGAAATGCTTTGATCTAAAAATCTCGTTCCCTTCCTGTGTATAAGGTTCACCTCTGTTTCATATGTTTTAAAATTTTCGTCATTTCCAACAATCTATCTCCAGATAACGTTATACATGATTAGTTCAGTTTCAGTTTGTTGATTATTTTCTCCAACGGTGGTTTCTGGGAAAAAGTTGCCTATTTCGTTCCTCGGAAGGTCTCTTCAGTTGTTGTTGATGATTGCTTCTGAGCTGATTCTGGAATTCCTTTTGATACTAGCGGTTAAACTATACAATGGTTGCGACATTCGTAAGTGGAAATTATGAACTTATTGTCGAAACATCTCAATGTCAAATATACTATTCTACAGTGTATGGCACCGAAAATGAAACAGATCGAAAACCTTCAAGACACATTTGTCGAGAAAAAATCCAGAACAGGTTGATTTTTACTTCAAAGGGAACACGTTTGTGTCTTAACCTCACTTACCACTTTTCCCAATCCTTGGTGACCATCACCTTTTGGATTTGAGTAAGGAAAGTACTAAATGTAGCACATCATTGAAAAAGTAATTTTATAAGTAATTCATTCATGCGACGATTCACTACGTAACTGTTAATTTTGGCGCCCTTTTACGGGAAAATATATAATCAAGTAACTCCAGAAATGGTCCAAAATGTCAGACAACATTTCGATACTAACTTATACTCATATATATATGGCCCTTAAGGGAAAATAATTCGAGCATTTGCTGTGAATTAATATATTCTGAAACTATTGAACTTATGTACGCTTTTTAAATTTTTGGGTTCATACAATGTTTGTTTTATATTTTTCGCCTTTTTTTATGACTTGTTTACATTATCTTTCAAATTATGTGTTATAATTTGAAATACGGATTAGTTGTTTCTTCCTAATACTATTAGTCATCTCCTGATGATGCTAACTTGGTCAATGAAACGGGCGTCGAGAAACAACATTTTTGTGTTCTGGTAAGAGAAACATGATATGAATAGTATTTTTGTTCTAGTGGGGGATTTTTTTTCAATAAATTCGTATATACGATGGAATTGGCCGATACTTGATGAAAATCCATAACCAAAGTATTCAACAGACACTTTATTGTGAGATTTACTCTGAACAGTTTTAAAGAAACGCAACACGTAAAGACACACCCGAAGAAGCCATTGTATGGCGAAACTCGTGTTGCGTTTTTGTAAAACTGTTTAGTGAAAATCTAACAATAAAGTGTTTGTTGAATACGTCAATAGATTCGTTTTACGCCAGAGATTTCAATTCTACTTATCAAGATAAAATATAATATCAAAAGTGAAGTATCTGAGAGGCCTGAGGCAAGATTTATTGCAGTTACAAGCTACCTTGTTACGTACATGTCAGCTTCTGTTTGTAGACTGTAGACCATCGGATTGGC